GGGGGAGGGACATGGGAGGTTGGCCGGCTGGCCGCACCCCCGATTGTGGCCTGTTGGTCAGCCGTAGTGCGTGACATAGGGACCAGTATTTCTGGTTGTTCTGGTCTCTTGGCTTTTATATATATAGATTGCCTTGTTAATCAGGGGGAAAATGTCTGTATGAGTGAGTATAGAGATAGAGTTTGGAATGGGTGGACCCACAGAGAAGGAAGAGCTGGTTACAAGTTCCTCAGTCCCTAACTTCAGTTTTCTCATCTGTAAATTGGGTATAATAATTTTCCCTGCCCACAGGGTCTCAGATAAGATTGATATGCATAGGAATATATATGCAGATGTATGCAAATGACACACCAAGGCAGATATAAATAAGATGCATGAATCTCTTTGCATGGTGCTACACACCAGTAAGGTCTCAATAAATACTAGCTTTTATTAGATAAATATGTATTTTTTTTTGAAGAATTTTTATTTATTTGTTTTTAAAAATATATTTTATTGATTTTTTACAGAGAGGAAGGGAAAGGGATAGAGAGTTAGAAACATCGATGAGAGAGAAACATCGATCAGCTGCCTCCTGCACACCCCCTACTGGGGATGTGCCCGCAACCAAGGTACATGCCCTTGACCGGAATCGAACCTGGGACCCTTCAGTCTGCAGGCCGACGCTCTATCCACTGAGCCAAACCGGTTAGGGCAGATAAATATGTATTTTTTTAAAAGTTGGGAGTGTAGTGCCTATATAGTTTTTCAGTCTGATTTTTTTTTCTAATTGAATGGTATCAGGACGTTTTCTCCTTACACCTTAAGTATTTCTCCGAAACATGGTTAATGTTTTCCTTGCATTCGGTCACATGCGTAAACCGTGATTTACCTACAGAGCCCCTCAAGTTGGATTTGTAGGTTTCTCCTCCCCTGGTTTCCTCTAACAGAGGCGGCGAGGAACACGTCTGCTCGGGGCTGAGTCTTTGTGCGAACACCTCTAGGAGTTCTCAGGAGCGAATGTGGGCTTTGGGCGGCGTTTCAGGCTTTTGTTCAAACCTGGGCCGGGTGCCCTGCACACTGGTGGTTCCCGTCCCCTCCCTCTCTCCACCCCTCCCGGATGGAGAAGTTCTTTCACCACATCCTGGCCTGCTCCCACTGGGTTTAAAAAAAAGAAAAAACAAAAGTAAAGACCCAAAAACTCCAAAATCTTTGCCATATGCACGTCAGCTTTTGAAACCATAAAAGCGATGTGTACTCTTCATTAAAGAGCCCAGCCAGTGTGGCTCAGTGGTTGAGAACTCGTGAACCAGGAGGTCCCTGGTCAAGTCCTGGTCAGGACACATGCTTGGTTACAGGCTCGATCCCCAATAGGGGGCGTGCAGGAGGCAGCCGATCAATGATGTTTCTCTCTCATCAATGTTTATTTATCCCTCTTCCTTCCTCTTTCTCTAAAAATCAATAAAAACACATTAAAAAGAAAAAAGTATAAAAAAAGAATAAAAGTTCATGAAGTAAAAACGTAAGGCCTCTCAGTGCACTGCCCACACCCACTCTCACTCCGGGGAGGGAGTCACTATGGAGTGTTGGGTGCAGCCTCCAGACCTGTTTCCGGGTGTGTGGGCCCTGGGCACATACAACACGCGTGTGCCGTTCCTGAGGGCCCTTCCGGAAGCGTGCTGTCCATTGTGATGTGCACTGGTCGGGCAGCAGCTTGTTACGGAGAAACGCCCAGTTAGTATGTGCGGTCACGGCCTCATTCTTCTTCAGGGCTGCGTACTACGCCCCGGTCTGGGGGAACCACAGTTTATCTTACTGTTTCCCAACCGGGTCCAGAAGCGACTGAGTTTACTTTCGGGTTTTCACTCTCTTGAATATTGCTCCATCTTATAAATCTGTTTCTAGAAATAGAATTGCTGTCGAACATGCTTCTTAAGCCCCCGCGTGGCCATGTTTTCCTGAAGGTTCGTGAGTAAAGGCGTTCTAGCCCCGTCTGTGTTCCTTAACCCTGGCGTGCGGCACGGGCCAGCTGCGGACAGAGCAGGAGTGACTGGCCTCGTTCTTTTTTACAATATATTTTTATTGATTTCAGGGAGGAAGGGATAGGGAGAGAGAGAAACATCAGTGATGAGAGAGAATCGTGGATCGCAGGGAATCGAACCGTGAGCTCCTGGTTCATAGGTCGATGCTGAGCATCTGAGTCACGCTGGCCAGCGGCCGGGCTGGTCTGTTCCTATGGAAACGTTAGTTGATGAAGCGAGTCCCTACCTGCCCGCTGCCCTGTCTCTGATGCTTGTTTCCAAATGGGAGGAGGA